GTTGTTCCTACCTTCGTTGCTATTTCTGCTATCACCATTATTGCGATTGCCACTGCCCACATCAGCGAAGTGCCGGCTTTCACCGTGGCGATGGCTGTCGCCGTGTCGGCCCTCTCCATGGCGGTAAGCGTCACTGTGGCGACCTCCTCCTTCTCCGTGGCCCCCCCCCGCCGGCACCACCGCTGTGGCTCCTGCCGCCGCTGCCTTCTCGCCTGTTGGTGCTGGCATTTGTGTTGTTGAAGCCCTGTACTCCGACACTGGGAAAGGTGGGAACACTACTCAGATTCCCCGTGCTGGTGAAACCTGGAACACCCTTTGCTGCTGCGGCTGCTGCAATTGGGCTGTCAGAATTTGCAGCATTTTGCTGTGCAGAACTTGTTGGTACTGAGTTCAAGCTCCCTGCGCTGGTCCAGCCACTAGCACCAGCGGCGGAGCTACCAGTCTTTTGATTATTTAAGCTTGCAGCAACAAAGTGGCTCTTATACTGGGACTGCCAGAAAAAGACAGAAAGAGAAAAGAGAGCACGTTTGCCTCTACACCGCACCACAAAACACGCAGTCATCATACGTAAACAAGCCTATCTTGAATTCTGGGGAGCCCCTAGGAAAAGCAGTTCCTATAAAAAGTCAGTCTTGGAGTGATTACATTCCTGTTGCGTTTATGAACACAGAACTAGTAATGGACATCTGCTACCAGACCACAGAAACAAGGGAACTCCTGTATTGTGGGGTTAATTTTTACACTGAAGAGAGAGGGTTTCTGTCTTCCCCGATTCTTTTGATTGCAATTACACTATTGCTGCTAAGCAACCTAAACAGGATCAAGCCTGGAAGCAGAATCCAGAAGGGAAGGAGAGCAATGAGGCAGCAGAAAACAAACTAAGTTTGACAAACTAACTTTGTGCAACCAGGTTCTGCCCAGCCTGCATACTAATTCTTCCACTTTGGACTGCAACACTGAGTGCGTGCTCCAAGCGGATCAGGCATGGCCACAACTACCAAAGTCAACTTCTCTGAAGTCA